AAGTTCAGCATATCTATATCTAACTGGTCAGTTAGCACTTATCGCGACTGAAAAGATGCTCCTTACATCACTAGCTCTTCAACATTAATGCTACAGAGCACCCTATAAGGACAGAATAGAAAATTTAGGAACAGATCAAAGTGCAACTGGAAAATAGAGAAGTTAACTGTAAAAAGTCATTCCAAGAATCATGGAGGTGAACAGAAACACCAGAAAAGGCATAAAATTTCCCCATTTGCTGAGTAAGCCGCAACAAATCAACTCAGACCAGCTCATTAAAGTTCAATGAGCTGAACTACCAGTGATGGATCGATAATGACAACGGATCTACAAGACACATAAGTATGCATAAGACAATCGGTGTGTCATGTCAAAGAGAATGCTACTATAAATGATAGTGAGAAGCTGAGGATATTGATATGTTATTAGCAATTACGTTCCAAGTTATTACAACTACAATATTATTAATGTGATTCACCAACCATTTGTAACTTCTCATCAACATTTCCATCAAAACCTTGTAAGGTCAGCTGTTGTCGATGTCATTTCAAATAGGGTAAGGTGGCATAAAACTCACACCTTGAGTCTATACTAATTTGTTTTGATTTTTCCTAGCAGAAAGCGCCACGACACAGTTAATGTTCCATAGGTGAAAAGACTGCAGCTTTAGAAGAGGCCCAAGTTTAGCATTATCGCGACCGAAAAGATGCTCCTTGTATCATTAGCTCTTCAACATTAATGGTACAGAGCACCCTATAAGGACAGCGATCACCAATAAGTCACTAACAGATCAAAGGGCCACCGGAAAATAGAAAAATTAACTGTAAAAAGTCATTCCAAGAATCTTGGAGGTGAACAGAAACACCAGCACAGGCATAAAATCTCTCCATTTGCTGAGCAAGCCGCACAAATCAACTCAGACCAGCTCCAATGATATCTACTATATGTCATTAAAGGTGACGGCAAAAGCAAACGTGTAAGATCCTCACCTGGCACTGCAGCTGCGTCTTGACAACGTCGAGTGGTGTGGTCAACGCGGCTGCTAGAGCACCGGCGGCAGCACCCGCAGTGGCGTGCACGGCAAGCGACTCCTCGTCAGCTGCCATGTCTCCGAGCACACGCTTGGCCGCCTCGTAGGTGGAGAAGTGGACGGCGGTGTAGGGCGCGTTCATAAGCACCGTGGTCCGGTACGACACGAAGAACGCCCTGAGGCCCTCATCGCGGAACACGGTGCGGACGCAGTGCGCGACGCCGGTGTAGGGGCTGCTCGTGAGCTGCAGCCGCTGCTTGACGGTGTCCATGGGGGTGAAGACGGCGTCGCTGGCGATGGTGGCGAGCACCCCCGAGGAGGCGTGCGCCGCGGGGTTGTTGGGGCCGAACCGGTCCGAAAGGCGCGACTTGGCGAACTCGTAGACGGAGAAGTAGACGGCGTGGGCGGGGCCGGCGCCGAGGGCCATGGCGGGGAGGCCGCGGTAGAGCGCGAGCGCGCCGCCCTCCCCGGCGACGGCGGCCCGCAGCGCGGCCCCCAGCGAGAGGGTGGGGCGGCAGGGCGGCGAGGCGGCCTGCATGTGCGTCTTGAGGGTGTCGACCGGGAACATGGCCGTGTGCTCAACGACGCCGGCGACGGAGCCGGCGAGCATGTACTGCCAGAAGCGCAGGCCGTCGTGGGTCGCGGCGGCGGCCGGCCCCGCGACGGCGATGGCCGGCTTGGGCGGGTCCTGGGCCGGCTCCTCCGCTGCGGCGGCGGCGGCGGGGGGGAGGAGC